ACCAGACCCACCATTCCACTCCAGAAGACATTCTCTCCCCTTACCACCTAACTCTGAGCAATCTTACAAAAGACTGATTGCTGGACAGTCAGACCCTTCATGCTCCTCCAGAAGACAAACTCTCCCCTTGCCACCTGCCCATTACCCTTCTCCCCCCACCCTAGCCCCGTTACACCTTGCCCCCCACCTTAGGCCCGTTACACCTTTCCCCCCGCCCGAGCCCCGTTACACATTCCCGCCCCCACCCTAACTACCCTCCACACACACACGCCCAAACACTCGTGAGCACACACACTTCAAAACACTGCTCTTGTAAGCAAAGCACTACCATGTAGCATGAGGTCCATCAAGACAATGTTAGCATACGTGAAACATTCCAGCCAAGGGTCGTTTCACTAAGCCAGGGGCTCGTAAACCAGGCCAGGGAAAGGAAGTAGGTACCTGTTGGAAATATCCATGTACAAGGGGAACAGTCCATCTTGTGTTCCCAAGGCATTTGCGTATCCCTCGAGTTAAAAACGCATTCCAAACAAACATGTTTTCATAGGGGATTGGTTCGTCTTTGGAGCCAATGTTTTTCTGCAATGTCTGCATAAGCTGATACGTGTAACTGAAGAAGAAATCCTTCGTCAAATCTACACCAGATAGGAGTTTCTTGTACCTGGAAGAACACAGCCAAGCCCGGCCCACACCGTCACAATCCATCACACCCAAATCGCCAATTTTGTCAAAATGAATGTGAAGCCACCAACCCCATCATGTTTTCACAGACGCTCAACACTTACAACCTTGAACAGTATCATCAAATCAAACGCTGGAGAGACCAATCAATTGCAAAATCAGAAAGCGTTCGGGACCAGGTTCGGGGATAGGTGGACTATTCTGAGCGGCCTTTAACAGAAAGCATTAGGGACTAGGTTCAGGGATAGGTGGACTAGGTTCGGAACTTGGTTTGAGCGGCGTTTATCAATTGTTACGTTCCGTAGAACTCATGATACTTGTGCCCAAGTAGGCTACAAGAGCATATTCACACTACTGGGGCCTCCTTGTTAGGTGGATAAATCCATAACTCAAGCCAGATTCAGTCCAAAAGTGCTAGTGTGAGCATGGCCTGAGTTTGTGACACTTCCAGATATGGCATACCGAAATTCCCAACTGGTTTCATCCCCATGGACATAGCATCCCATCATCACGACTATATTTGGATCGGAATAGGGTTTGTACACATTCATGTTAATGGGGCTTCGTGTTCGGGTAAGGAAAGAAGCCATTTGCCGCTCTCTGGACTGCTCGACATGGCAATTCTCATGTTTCATGCTTCGACTACATGTTCGTGCCATCCTTGTGCCTGATGTTCAGTTCCTACCGAATAATCAGATCTTGGATCAGATTTCCGGACCTGTGGATACGATTGTCATCTTTTGGTCCATCTGATGGAGAGAGAGAGAGAGAGGCCCTTCATGCTCCTCCATCTGATAAGCCCTCAAAACGACGTCTCTCTCTCTCTCTCTCTCTCTCTCTCTCTCTCTCTCTCTCTCTCTCTCTGTTACATGCTGAAAGTCTACACACGGGCCCCTCACGAGACCCGAGGTTGGAATAGGGCCCCCAGGTCGCGTCACCGCAACCTGAAGGCCCTATGGCATTTTTACTTGGGCCTGCATCAGAAAAACGCCAGCTTTAGATTATTTTTATAGTCTTTATTTTATTTATTTGCTGCTGTTTTTCTAACGGGTGTACTGTTGTCCGTTTTGTGGCCAGGTACACGCTTCTAGGGCCAGGGCCAGATTCAGGCCCAGACGCTGAGCTCCTAAAAACGTTTGGACCTTTTCTTTTGTTTTCGAACAGATTTTGACCTGTTCGAACCCAGGCCGACGTTGAGGCCGGTTAAGTCCGCACAGGACCGGTTTGAAGCCAGGTACCAAGAAGATTAATCCTGGACAGGGCCTGGACGTCCGGTAGGGACCCAGGCAGGCCGTTTTAGGCCAAGGATTGAACCAGTTTTCGAAGCCTGCGATCTGGACCGTGGATCGGAGTTTCGATCTGCACGGTCCAGAACGCAGGCTGTGGGTTTTCAGTCCTGGCCCAGCACTACTTAAGCTGGGCCATTGCCCAGTTCAAACAGAGAAGGTACCAGGAGAAATCCAGCGTTATGCTGGTTCAAGAACTTGGTTGTTGCGCTATTTTGGAGACTCGCTGCTGCGCCATTTCGAGACTGCAGCTGCGCTGCTCATCAGCCATGAGGCACAGCGCTGGAGGAGTCCAGCG